TTTAAACGACTTCACACTACGCTAATCAAGAATCTCATGCTTAAATCAAGTAGAAATGTAAATGTAAATGTAAATGTAAACTTAAGTTGAAAGCCATATTTTATTTATCCTCCTGATTTCACCCAACAATCACATGCCCACTTTCAAAGTGCTAAAGACTGTAATCAAAACATGGTTTAAAACTCATCCCCCACCAATAAATGTGTTAAGGAAAGACGGAGTTTGTATAACTCTCAATTCCCTCAAACGTCAACATTGATATGAATGGTTGCAAACAAAATTTGTTTTTTTACGAGAGGTACTAAGAGCATGCATCTTTTATATGAGTTAAAAAATTTCTTCTGAAATCACTGGCTTTTCCATATAGAATTTGCACATTGTGGCTGCGTGGCTGGAATCGGTGTCGTGGTATCGTTGATCAGCGGACGACTTTGCCCTAGCTGCTACAATATGGACACTTAGAGGCGTTCCTCGTGAGAATTCTTGCGTTAGGCTTTTGCAATGCAGAGTGAGGATTCACTTAGTAAGCGGCGTCTACTTCTGGGAATACCTCCAAAGTATGATAACTTCAACTGCTAATTTGGTCCATTTTGATGATCTTGAAAGACACAATTAGGCTAGCGATAATAAAAAATGCTCGTTTGATTACTTTATTAACATCATTTTTCATGCATTTCAATCATCACCGCTTTAGACTATTTTGAATGCAATTTGAACACTTAAAATCACGTGTTGACATATGCCTTTTTCATTGATGCAACCATCTGCATCTGTATTAAATTTACACTTAATTTCTCGACGCTTGTGGAGAGATGTGAAGTTTTGCAGGCTTTAGGTCTTCAGTCGCTATAACTCAGCTAAATTTTTTTAATAAAACGAAGTCTAGGTGTCAAAAGCGCTAGCGACTGATTTCTTTGGTGATTTTCTATACCAAACCTCAAGAAGTCAAACACTTAAGCAGTAATGATTTTTTAGTTCAATTTATGCCAAGCTTAATGGCTATCCTGACTGAAGGTATGCTTTCAAAATACTGACCTGTTTACGACGCCCAGTATACAATCGCCAAGCCGTTAGGGTAGGGAATAACTCACGGAGCAACAACTTTTTAAATATGAGGAACCAGTGTTTGTCTACAAAATGAGATACAAACAAAATCTACTGCAAAATGCGGAATCTTTAATGTTTCTGGTATCATTTGTGATACCAGAGGTACCAAGCTTTTATCATTGAATAAAAGGGCTTCCGAATGTCATCCTGATAAAGTACCATTTAACTGTTAGGACACCTTTTGGACATTAAAGTAAAAAACCAGTATTGTTTGCAAAGATAGCTGATTGTGATGGTTGGAATTGTCTACAGAGACCTACCCGTAGAGGTTTTGAGAGGGGATGGAATCAGGAACTTAGTCTACTTTACATTCCAGAGCTTTCCCTTGGCACGATTTAGAGACAATTCTGAGCTTACATGGTAAGTCATTTGACGCATTGCCGATACCTCCATCATGATGCCCTGGTTGAGACCACAAAATCATTAGTCATGCAAACAATCCATTGTGAGTCACCGATGCCTATCGCTACCATACCCTTCTACGGCAAACAGTAGTTCCCATATGCCTCTAATGACCATGTTTTAATTCTTCAAAGGGGAACACTTAAGTAATTAAGTTTGCGTATCCTTTGCAATAACCGGTCGTACAGTTTGAACTTCAACGAAACACAGCTTAGCAATTTGGCTCAAGTACAAAGAAATTGCCCTAACGTGTTAATGGCCAGGTATATATTTAGAAACAAATCACCATTAAGATGAATTGTAGGGAAGTATATATGTCCCTAATATAAATTAAAGATACTGTTTAGTACACATAATGTGTTAAATGACTCTTGCAGGTAAAAGGCGGGCATCTAATTCGAGCGCCATGCTCGGGGGTCTTGCGAAGCAGATGTCTTTCTTGTCAAGAGTTCGAGGCGTTTAGTAAACTTTTCGTCATCCTCGCCCATAAAAAGTTATATGCCAAGAAGTAGTTCTTTTAAAATAAGCCCCAGCATGGTCAAATCCTCTCAACACTTGTCAATGTCAGAAGACAAGGGCACTCCGGCGTCCAGACCCTCGCCCATGAAGCCGTAAGGATGGGCTTGGGGAGAGATGGAGTACATTTGGGATTCATCGTGCGAGTTGAACTAGCATCTCACAATCGACAGCCACTCCTATAAGTTCAGGTCTCTCTTAAAAGGCGGAAGGT